GGCGGGGTGGGGTCGTGTCTCGTGGTGCGGGGGGGGGGGGGGGGGGGGGGGGGGGGGGGGGGGGGGGTGCCGGGTGGATGGAGGAGGCCGGCGGCCGCGGGGACGCCGAGTCGACTAGCTGGGTGTTCGCTGCGTGTCCTCGGGGGCTGTCCAGGCCCTGCTTGGTCCGTATCGGAATGAGCGATCGGTTCAGCCGTCCTCCGTCGTTGCCCGGGTCGAGCGAGCTTCTCTGCGGAAAATGATGATTTTTTTTTTTTTCTGTGGTCCGTCACCATCAAATAAATCATGGTAAAAGCCGCAAATCTAGTCCCGTTGAGGGAGGAGCGTGAAGATGCGGCGGCGTTTCCGTTTGATAGTCTCCTCTGGCTGCAGATCGGCGTCGTGACGATATTATCATCACTCCTGCTCCGGTTGTGGGTTAAGCCGGAAATAGCTGGTGCGAAGGATGATCTTCTGGCCCTAAGAGGCCAATCTTGGGAATAGTTGGTTCGTTCGCTTTATTGGATTGGTATGAACAAGTAAGAGATCTCTCAGCCCGCTTTATTGAATGCCTCCCCTTTCGCTCTCTTGGCAGCAACAGGACGAACAAACGAAAATATCACATCTCCTCTACCCATCATCGCCTTGCTTTTTTTTTTTTTTTTTTCAGTAGGATCGAGAAGAAAAACAGCCTTGCCCTCACACGCTCATAGTCTCTCTAAAGTGACATTATCCTCAGAATCCTTGGACTCAAGATCGCGACTGCTCAAGCTCCAACTCCAACTGCCGTATCCTCTCATCTTTTTCTCTACTGCTCCTCGACTCGCCAACCCTTGTCTTAAGCGTATCAACCTCGGCGGTCAGTTGGCTGATCTTCTCGCTCTGCGCGGAGATGGTGCGGTTCTGCAGCTCAAGAAGTGATTTGATTTCGTTGAGAGACTCGCGGACTTCCTCGCTGGATTCAAGCTGAACGTTGGTAACGGGCTGCTGTCATCTAGGGTCAGCTTTTGCACAAAGGGTGGGGTTTGTTTTATGCTGAAGGTGTCGAGGGGTTCTCAAACCTTAGATACTGCTGATGATGGCTCAGCTCTGGGAGGTTGTGTGGCGGTGTGTTTCATAGGGGGCTGATCTCGCGGCCTCTCTGGTGCTTTCGCATAAGCCGGAGATGGCGTCTTTCTGACTTCTGCTTTTGGAGGAGGTTGATCAAAGCTTGAGCTACCTTCATCTTCAGATCCGGAGTCATCATTGTCTGCAAATTTCGAAGCCATATCCCCAATCGAGCTCTTAGAATCTTTAATTGACGGTTGGGGCCCCCTATGCACCGCCGCGGGTACAGGGGTTGGTTTCGGCTGTTCGGGTTCCTTTTTGATCTGTGAAGACGAAGCTGGCGCCGAGAAAACGGGGGCGGGCTTAGACTCCGCCGCAACAGCAACGGGATCTCCTCCGTCGTAAACACTCTCGAGGTCAATCTTTGGGGGGAGGGCATTTTTGCCAGCATGCCAGTCCGCCGCTGAAAGGCCGGCCTTCAGACCTGTCGCGGGAGGGTAGATGTCGTTTTGGAAGGCTTCTGCTCGCCTAGGAACAATGAATGAGATTGGCTCAATGTAAGTATCATTTACGGTCTTGTAAGCCCTAGTAACTTCGTTTTCGTGAAGCTAGACAGGATCAGCATCGTAAACTAGTCTTGGTTCGTTCTAGTACAGGCTCAGGCTCACGTTAACACCACGCTTAGGAACGAAAGCGACTCCGCGCTGCGGGTCTGCTGACTTGTATTCGGACAGAAACTCGAAACTATCGTTTTCGTACTCAAAATAGCGAATGTTGCCGTCCCTAGCTCACGTTAGCTGCAAAGCATCCACCATATCCCTGGGCAACGAATCCCACCTACCCTTTGCCAGCCAAGTAGAGGCACTGCGTACCATCATCCCAGAAGGGCATGCACACTCCTGATATTGAGTCTAGCATTTGGTACCCGCCAATTGGTTCCTGCGGGGTTCTAATGTCCCAGAGCGCCAGCTGCCGGTCGCTCATCTTGGAGAAACCGGTGGTAGCCACCCTGTCGTGTTCACCCATCCATACCGCACGACTATTCTTCGCTCCAGTGTGGCCAGCAACTTCCTGTGCCGGCCTCTCTTGGCGCACATCCCAGATGCGTAGTTTCTTATCGCGGGATGTCGTGACCATGAGAGAGCCATTGGCGCTCCATGACATGCTCTGAACAATGTCCGCGTGCCTAAGCGTCAATCGTGAAGATCCAGTTTCAATATCCCATAGTTTGATTGTGTAGTCCCCCGAGCTGGTCCCAAGGATGTTCTCTGCAGATGGGTTGAATAGCACGTGACCGACCTTTCTGCTTGTGTGTGAGCGGGCATCCGCATGTCTGGGATACACAGGGATGCGTACCTTGAATGGCCGGAGAGCTTGCTCAGAGGTGCAACGTGCCTCGGCTCCGTATCCTTGGGAGTGTACAGGGTAAAGCCCTTGGGCACGGCCCAGATGAAAACCTTCGCGGCCGTTAGGGAAAGTTAGCTCGGAGGAGTTGGAATGCTTGCCTTCCCGTCGTCTGACCCCGATGCGATAAGTGAGTCATTGAACGGACTCCTATTAGTATCGTGAGCACTCTCCATGAGCCACCATGGTGTAAATCTTACGCACCAATCTGTATCCAACACAGGTCCGGTGTGTCCCCTGAACAGCGGGATCTGTTCGGGCAGCCTCCCTCGCTCGTTAATTGGTATGACGGCGAAGGCTCCACCTCCACCAGCTTCCCAGTTGACAGATAGGTATTGTGGATTTGCCTTTCACAACCTTGTCAGCTGAATCAAGCGAACTATCAGGGAGACAACAACGAACTGACCTTAACAAGATTGGTATCCCAAGCATTCCTGGAGATTCTTAAATTGTCGTAGCATTGTTCCTAAGCCAGCGGCACATTTAGAAGTCCAGTCGAGATCAGTAACGGTGCGATTCAAACCTTTCTTGTTGGTCGTCCGAACACATGCCCTATAGGCGCAACCCCTCCATCAGCTAAAACAAACCAGAAGAAGACTCGATTAACGCTGGTGTTTCAAGACTTACGATATTTCGACGAACGCACAAAGCGACCAGCCATCTTCGCGTCTTTTGTCCCAAGAGCAAAAGTTCAATGCAGAGAAGAATGGTGGTGGAGTGCGCAAAAGCAAAGATGAGTTCACTTGTAGCGAAACGAAATGGTGAACGGGGTGGCTTGATGCCTGTTTTTGGCGTGCTAGCGTGCTTATTATCCTTTACCGCTTTCTCATCTCAGCAGCCTGCAACAAGATTCTCCGACCGACGTTTACTTTTAGTAGTACAACACCGCATTTGCAGCTCGTGACGGGGTAGTGAGTAGGCAGGGTCGCAAAAAAAACGTAGAAAGTAAAAACTATAGTAACCGCGCTGGGGGTCGAACCCAGGACCTTCTCGGAAAACAACACATATCTGTGAACGAGAAATCATAACCGCTAGACCACGCAGTTGCTAAAAAAATGGCCTCTAAACTAACTATTCGAACCCTAGAATGTGGCCCACGGCGGAGAAATTTCCCATGGGTGAGTGATAGGGGCACGCGATACAAGATAGTCCCGTCCAGACGTCCCAAACTCCTTTTACTTTTTTGTTTTCCGTCTCCCCATCAATGCACCGCTGCACCGCTGCACCGCCGCACCGCCGCACCACCTTGAAAGCGAAATGCCGGATATTCCTCTTTTCTGACCACCAAAGATTGGATATTAGGGCCTGTTGCATTGAGACCATGGAAAGAGGGGTTGAGCGAAGCAACATCTCTAAGTGTGCGGCGTTTAGAGACGAACGGATGCATGAAGCCTATAGTATAGTTGATTTGCTTCTCCGTTCAACTGGGTGACTCGTGGGAGTCACAGCGATGCTAGCGGGAGGGGCTCCTCCAGCTCCTGCGCAAACAAAGCACCATGAACGCGTATGTACAAAAACACCCAATCAACAAACAACCTCACACGCAGGCAAGCAACCTCCTAAACCCGTACGTACGATACGGCCCCCTCCCGAAGCCCCGCATCAACGCATCAGCAAAGAGAGAAGAGAAAAGAAGAAAAAAAAGACCATCCCCATCGCATCGCATCGCATCACGCATCCGCCCGCAACCCGACCCGCTTACTAACCCCCTCTCGCTTGACCCCAACCCAACAGCCATAAGCGCCCCTAGAACTAACCCGCAGCCCTCCCTCACCGGAAAAGAAAAAAAAACACACTCGGATCCAGCACATCCTACGCCCTCCCAAAACCACCGAGGGGAAAAAGAAAAAAAACCTAATAAAATAACCTGGAAGTTCCTGAAGCCCAGGCAGCCGGCCGAATCGAGGCTAGCTCTGCGGGCAACACGCACGCACCCCCCTTCCCGGATCACTCGCCCTTTCGTATAAATATGCCCCGGCGCCTCTTTTTCTTTTCCCTCCTCGCTCTCTCCCTCTCTCCTTCCCGCAACAACATCGTCCGCCCGCGTGGGAATAATCTACATACGTTTTTTGCTCGGGAAAACAAAACGCGTGGGATTTTTTTTTTTTTTTTGAGAAAGGGGAATACGTTCGACGACTCTTTTGATCTTACAAGATGACTGGACGTGAGTTTTGGTCCCCGCGCGCTTCGCTTACTTCCCTCCCTTCCACCGTCCCCCCATCGTTCGCGTTCGCGTTGTGGTTTTCGGTTCCCCCGCCGTCGTCGTCGCGATCGGTGGGGAAACTTGGTGTTTTGGGAAAAAATAATCCCGACTCGCGTCATCCCCCCCCAACGAACCACCTTCGATATATTCCTTTTTTTTTTCAATTTATTTTATCAGCCTCATCCTACTACTGCTATAGCACGCCGACTTCTACTTCACGTCACCATCACCGTGTCATGTCGCCGCACTCCACGTGTGAACACTATATGCCGAGATCCCCTCAACTAACGTGTCTTCCAACCTACAGGCGGTAAAGGCGGCAAAGGCCTCGGCAAGGGTGGTGCCAAGCGCCACCGGAAGATTCTCCGTGACAACATCCAGGGCATCACCAAGCCCGCCATCCGCCGTCTCGCTCGTCGTGGTGGCGTCAAGCGTATCTCTGCCAGTACGTTCTCTCCGCCGCTCGCCTTTACCTTGCAATTAATATCTAACGCGTCGCATAGTGATCTACGAGGAGACCCGCGGCGTACTCAAGACCTTCCTGGAGGGCGTTATCCGCGACGCGGTGACGTACACTGAACACGCAAAGCGCAAGACCGTCACCTCTCTCGACGTCGTTTATGCTCTCAAGCGCCAAGGTCGTACCTTGTACGGTTTCGGTGGTTAAGCTCAGCTCACCGCGCTTCTCGGATCTCAATTACCCTCTGCCATCTCAGCCTTTTCCCCTTGGGCCAAACCGCCTCATGACGACTTTGCCCTCTGGCGGATGTGAACACGAAGGGTGGATGCAGATAAAGGTCCTATCGAGCATCTCATTTGTTTTTTTTTTTCTATTTTACTCTAAAGGAGGCGGTAAAACACACGGCGTTTGTTTTCTTAACTCCCTAATTCTGGGACGGGTGGGGAATGGTCTTTTTTCCCTCTAGGGTGATGAGTCGCGGTGCTTGTTTTTACCAAATACAAATGCCTTAAAAACCATCCTACAGCACTGGATTACCGCGTGACGAACCTCCCTCATCAAAATCAACACGATGCAGCATTTTCCTTTTCAAACAACACTATTCCTTGGCTCATGAAGCGTCTCCCCCAAGATGAAGGACGAGCAAAGACAAGTTAGCCCCACAGAGCAGCTGGAAAGAATATGTACATCAGACCCCTCCCTCAAAATCTTTCCAACCCACAACCCCGCAATGCCGTGTGTTCGAGTCATCCATACCAAAAAAACGCCCCACCTCCGCATTGCATAACCGGTTACCTAGATCAAGTCACACGTCCACCCCACCACCCCACTCGCCCATTCCTGCTTTTGAAAAACGTTGGCAAGAAGATAAGCTAATGCGTGCGTATGTACCTCTGAGTCAGTCGATCCTTCCAATATGTATCCCGTAAAGGAGAAACCTTGTCCCTATCCCGGTTTCCTCGCACGGTATGTCCGTCACCTTCTCCTACAATGACTCACTCTAACCCCTCATTTCTTCTCCCCCTTGCGACCCCCAACAAGGTCAATAACGTCCTTACTCAGCGCCCCCGTCGCGTCCACCATCCCCCAAAACACATCGTTAGCGTCCTCCCCCATTACCCCAGCCACCTCCTCAACCTCATCACCCAAATCCATCAACACATCCCTAGCCTGCTCGCTCATCTTGTCAAACGCCCCTCTCGTCTGTCCGCTAGCACTTGAGGCTTTCTCCTTAGCCCGTCCAATCATCTCGAATGCAGGATGAGATTGCAGGAGCATTGGCATGACGTAGTAGAGCTGGACGATGAATTTGTAAATTATTTCTTTAAGCATCATAGTCGTGCCGTTGCTGAGGAAGCCTTTAATGACTTCGCCTACGACACCTTTGTAGAGTGCGCTGATGCCCTGCGTCTGGGCGATTTTCCTGAGGCTGCCGAACACGGTTTTTGGATCTGGAGTGGGCGAGCCTCCTGATTTACGTTGGTAATTTCCGCTTGCTTGACTCCGGGCTTTGGCGAGGGAAAATGGATATGTGATCGTAGAAGCGAGGGCTTTGCTGATGGCTGCGAGTAGGAATGTAGCGCGAGCGCTGGGCTTAGAATGCCGGAATAGTGCGCGAATCAAGGTGTTGTGGAAGAGGAAGGTGAGGGATGGGTTGACCGTCAAGATAAGAGTTGCGGAATAGCCAGACCAGAAGCCTGCGAGACCTTTGGTGGTGTAGATGTCGCTCGTGATGGAGGCCACCTTTGGTTGAGCTGGCTTTAGCGATGCTTTATCTCTGGAGTGAGAACGCGATGCAATCATGCTGGCAATTTGCATCCGGGTTACAATATTCGAGATAGGCGTCGTGAAGAACTTCGAGAACGCTCCAGCCAGCATCCCCACTCCAAGTTCGTCCAATATTGATAACGCCCTTGCTGGTTTCCCGTGAGCTGTTGAACGTCCTCGGAGCCGGCGCTGACGCAAAAAGTTATACGCCAGGAAGAAAAGGAAAGCATCAGTGATACTCTTAGCGGTATCCTGTACTGCTCCTGTATAAAACGCCTTCATTCCCCCTTCCTGGGTGTAGATCTTATATGCTGCGTCGGCGGCATTGCGGTATTCGTCTGAATCCAAATCGGAAGTCTCTTGCATGTCCCGGACGAGGCGCTGGACTTGAAGGCGGGTGATGATGAGCTCGAGAGGGAATACAGCGATATTGGAGACTGCTGTGCTAGTGGATCCCGCAAGAGCATGGCCGAGGGCTGGGAGGGCGGGACCAATGAGGGGGGAGGTAAGAGGCCCCGATTCCTCTTGGAGTTTATGGTAAATGGAAAAGGCATCCTGGCATTTATTAGCACTTCGGTATTATGCCGGATGCCAAGCGCTTACTAGCTGGGCGTTGTAGATATTCATCGTTGCGTTGAAGCTCAATCTACCTGGTATTCGCAGTCGGGGATGCTCCACAGTCGCGTGACGTCATTTGTCGAAGGAATTCGCTTGTGGTTGAGGAGTTGGCTTTGGCAACGCCTGTGACGAGCAAGGTATTCCCCACACTGTAGCAGACGAATCTGAGATCCGCACGGACGCGCAGAAATGGTTTCTGTGATGATGGAGGAATGGAGACTGGAAGAACGAGTAAAAAAACAAAAGAGGGGGAGAGAGAAGGAGAATAATAACCAGACTCGAACCTTCTTGATTTGAGACTAATTGATCCACCTACTTCCTTCGGTCTTTAGCCACGAGGTACTGGGGAACTAAGAGATTAAGAGCTTGGATAAATCTACAAGGGGCCTCCTAACACGTGTGGGACGTATGCATTGAGTTGGGCACTCTAGTTATTTGCACCAGGTGGTAGGTAGGGTCACATCGAAATATTGGGAGGGATGTGTTTTATCCTAATCCTCCAGCATTCCCACATTCATGGGTAAAAAAGATATCTGGCTAAAGACGGACTTTTCGTGACATCATTCAGGCTACCCCAGGATTTTACCCCACACTAGCAGCACGGTAAACATGGCGAGATAAAAACAGTCCCAATTAACGCCCCTTTCCTACTTCGCAATGCATCTACAGGAGCTCGACATGTTGTGCCGGAAACATGCCTCTGCATCCTGCATAAGAACCCCAGAACCAATCCTCATTTATTCTCTCGACTTCCCTTATTTCAGCGCCCCGCGGGAATATAAGATCACGAGTATCGAACTCAGGGGGAAAGTAGCTCCATGCAGCGAACGCCCGCATTCCCACACCGCCACTGGGCGGGAATTGTGTGGTGATAACTGCTGCGCCGCCCGCTGTGCCAGATGTCGTGCGCCTCGTGAAGGTTCGAGACTCGATACGTCCATCTGGTTCTTTCCAGCGATAGACCCGATCTGTACTGGTAGCACTGCTTCCCTCGACTG